TGTCTCGCACATGCTCTGCATAGGGTAGCAGAAGAGGTGCGAGAGAGCTACTTTGATGTAGATAAATTAATAGCAAATGGGAAGAAAATTTTTGTTAAGGCTCCACTTCGATTGCAGAAGTTTAAAGAAGAGGCTCCATCACTACCCCTTCCCCCTAAGCCTATTGTAACACGATGGGGGACTTGGCTCGATGCTGCAGATTATTATTGCACACACTACAGTGTGATTGAAAATATCTTCATGAAGTTTGACAGAGATGATTCATCTTCATTTCGAACTGTACAAAATTTGTTTTCATCGACCACGTCAAGAAATCTAGTGTACATAAAATCAAATTTCAGTGTGATATCAAAATCCATCATTAGACTTGAAGCTGTGGGCAGGCAACTGTGCAATTCATTACAAATTGTTAAGAAAGTTGAAAGTGAACTACATCAAGCACAGGGCGAATTTGCTGTGAAAATTAGTGCAAAATTACAAAATGTGCTCCAACGAAATCCTGGATATTCAGCACCGTGTACAATTTCTGACATTCTTTGTGGCAAAGAAGTTGAATTTGACAACAGTGAATTAGAACTTGACGCAAGTGATTTGACTTGTTTTAAGTATGCCCCTGTGACATCTTGCGACGTAGAAAGGAGTTTCTCCAAATACAAGGCCATTGTTAGTGACAATCGGAGGTCCTTCAAGTTCGAGAATTTGAAAATGCATGTTGTCATTCAGTGCAACTCTACTGAAAAGGAAGATTAAGGTACCGTACAAATTATTTACCTGCAACTATTAGCACACTTTACTTTACTTTTCACGCTAAAATAAACAATACTTTCGTTCATGTTTTCTCTTTACAGGGTCAGCATTGTGTTGTGATGGATGCTTCACGGCTTAAAGACATTTATTCAGAAAAAATAACTTTGTACACTTTTCAATAGAACGCCATTCAGCTTTTCTCTTTATGGGGTCAGCAATGTGGTGTGATCGATGCTTCAGAGCTTAAAGATATTTATTCAGGACAAAATAACTTTGTAAACTTCTTAATAAATTGCCATTTTTAGAAATTTTTGTTAAATATTTACTTATTTTTTGTGGGCCATTCTGCCATATTTTAGGTCATATTTTGCCATTTTTAGGGCATAAATGCATGCATATTTTCAAAGTTTTTAGGTCATAGAAATCCGAGCCCTAGGTATCGCCTTCAAAGTGGTCCCCTTGCTGACCCCTACACAGCTCCATGCGAATTTAGTGGAAGTAATGCCGCAGGTCCTCTTCTCATAGCTTCTTCATTACCTCTGTTGCCTTTGCCTTCACTGCATCTGCAGACTCAAAACAGGTTCTTTGTAATGAAGACTTGATCTTTGGGGTGGGGGAGTCACATGGGGCTAGGTCAGGTGAGTAGGGTGGACATTCCAACATGGGGATCTTGTGCTTTGCCAGAAATGTCTTGACAGACAGTGTGCTGTGTGCCAGTGCGTTGTCATTGTGAAGAATCCATGAGCCCTTCTTTCACATTTCAGGTATTTTTCTTCTCACCCGTTCATGAAGGACTCTTAGAACCTCCTTATAGTAGACCTGGTTAATGGTCTGACCTTCAGGCACCCAGTCAGTGTGAACAATGCATCAGATATTGAAAAAACCGATTATCCATTACTTTGAAATTTGACTTGGTCTTCCATGCTTTTTTTTTCTTGGTGACCTGGGACTCTTCCAGTGTATGGATTGGCACTTAGTTTCAGGGTCATACTGAAAAAACCATGATTCATCACAAGTTATTGCATTTCCTAAAAGGTTTGGATCATTTTCAATGTTTTGAAGGATGTCAGCACAAATGTTCATTCGAGTTTCTTTTTGCTCAAGAGTGAGGATTCTCGGCACCATCTTTGAGCACACTCTTTTCAAGTTAAAATGTTCATGTACAATCTGTTGAACACTTTCTTTATCAATGTTAGCTAATTCAGTAACTGCTTGAATGCTCAAGCAATGATTTTTTCAAACAATTTCACTGCTAGCATATGTTTTTGATGTGCAAGGCTGACCAGGACGTGGATCATCTTCGATCTCTCCCTTTCCTTCTTTAAATCTTTTAATCACTCGAAAACTTGAGTATGAGATACACATTCATCAGCATAAACTTCCATAAACAAACTGTATGTTTCTGTAGTGGATTTTCCAAGTGTTGCGAGGAATTTCGCATTGACATGTTGCTCTACTTTACACTTAACATAATTCCGACAGAGCTCATATACATGGTCCGCTTCAAACAGAGGCTGTTACCACACTGTTGGCCTTATGGCCTTGGAAGTCATAAGGTTGATGGAGAGGAGAGGACAGGCTAATATTCTACCCCACTTGCTGTTGCCAAGGCCACAGGGAGTCAGCAAAAAAAATCAGTCTGGTTATTTTATGGTCGCTCCAAGTACATATTATTGTGTCATCCGAGTAACTTGAAAACTTTACTTCCATGTCATCTGCAGAGTTAATGTTGCCAAGCATTATCAGTGAACATAAAACCAAATTGTGATATTAGAAGTTTTTTTTAGGTATTTCATTTTATAAACACAATCAAAAGTCCAAACTTTTGGACCTGTTGTTTGGGGGCAGATTCTGATATTAGGCTGTGGCTGTTGTTTTTACAAATACGTTTCTAAGATTGGTAGTGCTTATAAGACAGTAATTTTCAGAGTTGCTTAGGTCAACCACTGTACATAAGTACGATGAATACTGTCTGTGTAGAATACTCTGTAGTTATCTAATTACAGTTTCCTTCCTGAAACAACACAGAGAGGATACAGTGTGATATAATGCAGTGACATGTTAATTGTGCAAGTGGATTTCAGTTTTTCACCATATGGAACATAGTGGCAATAAACAATTTGCATTTACAGTCTTTTGCTCATAGACATAGTCTGATCATATAGAAGTTTTAAGAACTGTTCTATGCATTGGAATATTAACAGGTACTGTATTGTAATGGTGGGAGAAGTCACAAAAATGGTCTAATAGTTGAGTTACAAGTGTGAGTTCTTTCAGAAGAAATTAAGTATTTTGTGTGATTATCACTTGTAAGGCCTTAGTACAGTGTTTGATGGATTTGATGTTTTTGTAGTGGTGGCTATGAAGAGTACTCTCTTCTGGGATACGACATCATGTAGTCTGGTAGAAGCATACTGACATTTCAGAGAAACATCCTGCCTCCATCTTCATTGTTGAAGAAAAGCTGAAAAGACAGCAAGTCTGTCCTGATCAGCTTTCTCTCATCATATTCTTTTCTTTCTTCATTGTTATATAATTATGTTCAGTATTCTTATTGCAGGAGTATGACAATAAAGATTGAATTTACTATCATTAGAAGTGCCAGGTCTGCTTTTGGGGTAAATGCAGTTGCGCAGAAAACCCCACAGTATTTCCTCAGACCACAGATAAATAGCAAGGAAACATGTTCTGTCCTTTAAACATCATTATATATCACTCAGTACCATCCATTAACAAAAATGTTCTACCAAATAATTAATATCAAGTTCATATTTTTGGCTGTGGCTTTTTTAATGCAAGTACACTGAACTGATCTAATCAGCTTGTGGTGTTCAAAGAATCAAAGAACAGTTGAGAAATCACCTTGGAAAGTTGGCCATTTCCGTTAGTCAGCGACATGTCATAGTGACATACATTCTACTAGAGGGAACACACACATAAAAGGGACACAAACATGGCCACCACAAGTGGAAAATAGCATGGTAATGGAGAAAGAGCTTTGTTCTCAAACAAACGTATTTTAGTGTGAACAGTAATAATGCAATATCAATGAAATATACAGGGTGATTCAGAAAGATGGACACAATTTCAATTGGCTATATTTCCTGAATTATATGTTGCATTTGAATTGTGTAAATTACACTTGATTATACATACATGGAAGTTTATAGATGTTCAATGTGCCCCCCCCTCCTCCGGCTGCACGGATAACATCTAGACGGTAGCTGAATTCATCCTACACTCGATGACAAATATCTTGCGTCACTGAGTTCACCGCAGCTGTGATACAGTTTCTTAGGTCATTCAGATTTGTGGGAAGAGGTGGTACACGCCACACAGTTGTTTGCGATAGTCCAAGTTCTCTACTAGCACTACGGGTTGACTTCATTGGGCTGCGCTCAAAGTTCACTCGAATGCACTCCACGTTCTCCTCCGATACACGCGATCGGCCCGGGACGCAGTGATGGAGGGCACTAGCGGTAGTACTAGAAACTTTGTAACATCCTCTTTCAAATGTACTTTACAGAATTCAAATGCAACATACAGTTCAGGAAATATAGTCAATTGAAATTGTGTCCATCTTTCTGAATCACTCTGTATTGTCTTAAGACCTAGTGCAGTGCACCGGTTTCAAAAAGTGAACAGTTGCATGAAGATGGCCCAAGTATGGCCAAAATATATAGCAGTTGATTGTGATTTTAATGTTATTTTAAATTAAGGAAAGATTGTGAACATTTTTAAGTTGCCTTAAAGATGGAAGTGAATGAGTGAGTAATAGCTTGATGCAGTTTTATAGAACCAGCAAAATTCTGTCAGTTTACACATGGCTGACTCTGTCCATCTTGGCCACCTGTCTGTGTTCTACCCTGTCCACCTTCTTGCATTTCATGCAGTGGTAAAGGTATAGTTGTCCCTGTTAAGCACTATGCCATGAAGATATATGGCATTGTGAAGGTGTAGCTCCACTCTTCTTGACTTCTGCATTAGGTGGAGGCGTATGGTCAGTTTCACGCCCAGGCCGCTTTTCTCCTGGGGAAAGAACTTCGGTTCCCATCAGATAGCAGGCTGGGTGAGCCACAGAGCTGGTCTGGATGCTGTGAACAAGAGAAAAAGTTCCTTTCCCCTGCTGGGAATTGAACCCTGGCCATCCAGCCTGTGCCATATTGACTGAGCCATCCCAGCTCCTTAAAGTGAATGCCAAATACAGCACATGGTGTTCCCAAGCGGTCACCCATCTAAGTGCTAACCATGCCCAATGTTGCATAACTTCAGGGATTGGACAAGAACTGGTGTTTTCAACATGGTATGGCTGTTGGCTCAGTGAATCATACTTTAATATTAATATGTTGGCTACACAGAAAGAAAGCTGAGCCTTTAGTACCAGTCTTTAAAAGTGAAATGTGTTCACCCATCTGTCCCTTGTATGTACCTGCTGAACATTTTCTGTGTTTTTTTTTTTTTGCTATCGATAGCTGAGAAACTGATAAATGGTACATTCTTTTGATATTCAGTTTACCACAGGCTAACTATATTTTTCACTTTTGACTGACTGCTAAAATTCAGAAGTAAAAACATCACTCTCACATCCACTTATGAGTTGTTGATTTGATTTTCAGTATGTGGTCAGCCTGATAGTCACAGGATTAGAAATAAATGAAGAGCTTCAAGAAGCCTGACATGGTGGCAGTAGTAACATAAAATAGTTAAGATTGTAGTCACCATAGATGCAAAAATGGGAAATTTTAGGCTAATTTTTGTAATTTGGCCACCTGCTTAACTTGGTTACATGTGAATGTAATCACAGGTGGTCGCCATAGACAGGTTTCACTTCATACTAGTTATACTAGACATGTCATGAGATTATGTTTTGAATTAATATGCCATAATATATACCATGTATACTGTGCTAATATGCTTATGTGCATTGATTTGTGATAATATTTTCATAATGTATTTGTTCATTACTTTTATAATGCTTTAACTTTTTCATGTTCACAGAGCTTGGATGAAGTATACATAGAAGTGGAGACATGTGAAGAGTTGCGTTCAATGTCCACGCAGCTAGGTCTGTCATCATATAGTGGTAATGCAAAGTACAGTTTTATCAACAAGGTGATTGATGGCATGACAGTTTCAGTCAATACTGTACAGGTTACTTTCAAGAGTCCAGCATTCATAGCTTCAGTTCAGGTGCTTAACTCTATTCATAATTAACATTTATTACGAGGGTCGATCAATAAGTACCTGTGTTAGGAATAAAGACACAAGTTTTTCACTTTTTTTTTTTATTTTTCAACGTAATCTCCTTTCAGGTCGATACACTTTTCCCAACGTTTCTGCCATTTCTTTAACCCCTCCAAAAAATACGATTTGTCAAACTCTTCAAAATACGCTTCTGTCTCGGCGATAACCTCCTCGTTTGAGCTGAATTTTTTTCCCCCGAGCCATGTTTTCATGTTGGGGAACAGAAAAAAGTCACAGGGAGCCAGGTCAGGCGAGTACGGTGGGTGTGGCAGCAATTCATAGTGCAGTTCATGCAATTTGGCTACGACAATTCCAGATGAATGTGCTGGTGCGTTATCGTGGTGAAACAGCACCTTTTTCTTAGCCAAATGGGGCCGTGTCTCCTTCAATTTCTTATCGAATCGGTCCAATAATTCACTGTAGTACTGCCCCGTGATCGTTCTTCCTTTCTGCAAAAAGTCCATGAGGATTATTCCCTTCGAATCCCAAAAAATCGTGGCCATGACCTTTCCGGCCGATGGGACCGTCTTTGCCTTCTTCGGAGCAGATTCACCCGGAAAAATCCATTGTTTTGACTGTCGCTTGGTCTCTGGCGTATAATAATGTATCCAGGTTTCATCAACGGTGACGACTCGACGCAAAAACTCCTGCGAATTTCGCTTAAAGAGGTCCAAACACTGCTTCGACATTGACAGCCGTATCCGCTTGTTGTCCACCGTGAGCAACCGCGGCACCCATCGGGCTGACACCTTTCTCATACTTAAGTTATCATGTAAAATATTGAGTGCCGTTCCGTACGACACACCTATGGCCTCTGCTACTTCGCGCACTTTAGTTCGGCGATCAGCGAGAATCATGTCATGGACCTTTTCAACGATTTCCTCGGTAACGACGTCTGCCGGGCGGCCCGGCCGCTCCTCGTCAAAAACAGATGTACGACCACGTTTAAATTCGTTGAACCAATATCTCACGGTTGTCATAGATGGTGAAGGGTCCCCATAGACGGCATCCAACTTCGCTTTTATTTCTTCGCATGTTTTTCCATCCAAAAATAAAAAGCGAATTACGGATCGATATTGCACTTTCTCCATTGTATCAAGAAAGACAAAACACGTCTGATGCAACTGGCTGCCAAATAAAAACTAACCTATGAATCAGTCTGAAATTTAGTATGGGGTCGTTTGACAGATGGCAGTACACGACGGTAAAGCCAACTTCCCTCAGCAACGCCACCTGTCTTCAAACACGGGTACTTATTGATCGACCCTCGTACACATAGTCTAAGTCAACTTCAGAAAGGTTCTCATAATTGAAGACTAATGTGCTTTTGAATGTGATGCTGTCTAGTCTGGTAGTAGTTTAGTGACTTTTGGCGGAGTGTACGGATTCCTTCTTCATGGTTAAAGAAGTTAGGCAAGCAGCAACCAGAGTGAACCACATGTGGAAAATGTGGTTTAGGTATATCCATATGTAAGAGATTTTAGAGGAAACTTAGAGAAGCAAGGGGAGGAGGAGTAAAGAAATGGGGCCCAAAAAATAGGTTCAACCCAGGCCTGTATGTGAGCCCACAGTTTCTATGTGCCATTCCCTCTGATTGGTGCTTGCTTGTTGATTGCTTGGCTCACTTTGTGACCCAAAAGATGGAGGCAGTATGTTTGTCCAAATCACCAGTAAACATCCACTAGACTATATGTTCTCACATCCAATAAGACAGTACTTCAGAGTCACTGCTGTGAGAACCTCAAATCTAACACTTCTTCTCTCTCTTCTGAATATATGCTGTTTTTCTGATTGTTTTGCTAGAGAAACTTCAAGTGCGGCTTATAGCCACATCCTATGCATTTTTCATTGCCATTTTTATACTATTAGGAACTTCTTGCCATATTTTTTATTTACAAGAGAACTACCATTTAACCCTTACACTGCTGCGATCGACAAACCCCATATTGCGACTTTAAAATTTCAAATCTCAGGTTTCTTTGCACCAATCTCATTCAAACTTGGCGGGTGCATAGAGTCATCTGTTGGGGACATAATGAAGCATCATTCATTTCAATGGCTGCATTCTTCTGCCCTCTATCTTAAGAAATGTAAATGGTTGCATCTGCACAGTGAGGCAGGTGCTCCGTGGCCATGTGGCGCGGGTATTTCACAGGGCTAGTAAAAATGGCTTTGTATAGTGTGTGGTGCTTTCTGTAATAGTTTTAAATAAAGTTGTGGACTTTGGTCAACATGTGACATAGTGATAAGACTAGGATAGTGAATTATGTACGCTTTTGGCCATCTTGGACAACCCTAATTTAAATGGACTTTTCCCCTGTGAAAAATACTGAATAATTCAACATTTTTGCAACTTTTGATGCCTGTTCCCTGTCTGAGATAAGATTAGTTACATTTTATCACAAATTTTCATACTTTGCACTTAAATTATTTATAAATGATTTATTAAAAAACAATTCAGCACAGAGGGTACTCAGAGTTACTTAACATACTAGCAGTGAAAGGGTTAATGTCCTTAGTTTATCCCCCCCCCCCTAGGTTTTCATACATTTAGCATTGAATTTCAGTGATCAGTAGCCAATATCTCAATGTTAAATTTAAGGTTTTCCACAGTTTACTGTTCAAATTCACTGCTTCCTAAAGAAACTTTAAATTAATTTGGCCACTGTATTTGTTTAGCTTAGTTTTCTGAGAGAATAATTCCTCCAACCTACCCATTCATCCACCAATTCAGCTTTCCATCCATTTTACACCCACAGGGTTCAAAAGACCAAAATTGTTTTTTCACTGAGATACATTAGTTGGACATTGAAATTCTGTGCTGTGAAGATGAGTCTAGAGAGTGGTTGTATCCTAACACATTGTGACTAGTAATTCCTAATAGTTGTGTCAGTAACTGAACAATTTACATATCATAAACAGCGTAATTTCTTTTTCATCCAGTGCTGGAAATGGGAGTAGGCAATGTTTGCCTGGTTCCAGAACACTATCTAACAAAGCTATTTACAGTGCCACAAGATGTAACTGTCATTCCCAGCAACAACAGTGCATGTAGGAATGAATTCCCAAATCTGCATAATAATAATTTATTTTATAACATGTGTTTGTCATTCGCTGGGCTCTTCATCTGATTAGGAGCATCTGTCTAGTACAGAAGAGCCATTTGCATCCCTGCTTCTATCCTGCCTTATATTAATATCTGTTATTACCTTAGGCAGAGGTATGATGAAGAGGCATTGCCAGGCAGTAAAAATACCTTTACATATTCCTAGATGCAACGTATTATGGTAGAATCCAAGTCACCGTCCTGGCAACGCTGTGATTTGCGGATGACAAGACTGAAGGAACCAGACCGTGGACAGTTGCTGATATTCAAGGAACTTGAATGGCAGACAGTGAGGATAGAAGCCAGGTCCACAAAGGACAAAGAACTTACTCCACTTCGGTTGCTTACCAATCAAGCTCGATGCAGGATTACCATTAAAAAGAGAATAGCAGGTGCTGCCATTTTCTTCAATAAATGTACTTAGTAGTTAACTGGGAAAAGGTCCATTGTACAGAGCCAGTGAAGAAATTTAATGTATTTCAGAAGGTTATATTATGAAAACTGAGATTAATGGCCGTGGGAATCTGTTGTGCTGACCACGCAACACCCTCTATCCACAAAAATTGGCACTAAATATGCTGACAAGCGACGATTGCTCAGTCGGTATAGTTTTCTTGTGGACTAAAGGCCACGGAGGAAAGCAAATATTATGAAAATAATATAAACTTTTTTGAAACTGCTCACACATAAATGGTTGTGTGATGTTCATAAAAGTTGAAACTCAGGGTGTTGTTATGGGAGTTACAGAAAACCTTCAGCTGCTGTCACAGAATGTTTTATGACATGACTGACTGGTGGCATCCTGGATGTATGCAATCCATAAGTTGATTTTGAGCAGCTCACAAGGATGCTATCCATTCCCCTCAACTTTTGTTCAGGCTTTACTCCTTTTGAAAGGAGGTGCCAAACCTTATTGAAGAAACTATGAGAAGTGCTTGCTAAATATTTTGAGTAATTTTTCAATTAGTATGACCCCTAGGTTATGTAAAATATCAGTAGAGCATGGAAAAGTTTTGTGGCTGATTTTTAATTGCTAATTTTGTGATTTATAATTTTAATGAATGTTTTTGAAATTACTGATCTCTGTTTTATTGATATGCTTGGGCATCACCGCTCTGGTCATTGCAGGGTAGATATTTATATTGATATATTGTCGGGGTTGGGAAGAATACATATTTTATAGTGCAGCATGCAGGTAGATAAGTGATGATCCATGAGTTCTCTGAGTGGTTTGTATGTGGACAGCCATTTGTTCTGTTACTAGAAAGTGTATTTAGATATTGTGGAACACCTCTTCCAACAGCTGTTATAAAATAGTACATACAAGTACAGTGCTTGTTTATAGAAAATTTTAAAATTTGGAGGGATTGTCATTAGTATCTCTGCTAGATTGCATTTTCCTTTCTGCATGACCACTGAAATGGTACTTGATATTTATTAACATGCTGTACTGATAAGGCAGTAGCTTTTATGGTGATATGTAGCTTCATTGAAATAAGAACACTCAGTTCATGTTGATTTTTAAAACTGTTTTTGCAGATTGTTTTGTCATGGGTTCACGCCTCGTATTGATCTTGGATGATCTTTTATGGGTATTGACAGACTCACAGTTAAAGGCTGCTCTTCATTTTCTTGATTCCTTGACTGGTCTGGTGCAGAAAGCAACAGAATTAACGAGGATAAAGAAAGCAGCTAGAAAATTAGAGGTAATTTTAATAATTGTTGGTTAAGTTGATTGTGTAGTGTACTCCTTGTTAAGAATTTGATTTTCATGAAACTGTCGCAAGATTGCCATCTGACAGAGACCTGAAAGACAAATCATCAGACTCCAGTATTTACAGTTTAGGTATCAGTGATGAGAGAAAAGCCCTGAGTTGCTTCAGTAATTGTAGCAGTTCGTTGTTGACAAGTTTTCAATCTGAGATACCAACATGATTTGTGCCAGAGATGATTTCAATGGATTGCTAGAGTCTCCTCGCTGTCAGAAGTAAGTTGGTTTTATATGCTTTGAGTTGAGATTCGCAATCCTCTGAGGCACACTGCATTCAGTGTAGTAGCAGCAATATGCATTTTACAAAATGCTTTCCCTCTCAGCTTGGAATATGATCATAATATGGATGAGACTAGTTGTCTTTTTTTACAAGTATCATAACACTGTTGAATGAAGGAATTAGATGAAATTTAGAAGAGTTTCTTTTCTCAAATGCTAGAAAAGGTGTCTAGTCCATATTTATATCGTAGTTTATTTTATGATGCTGTCAGTAATTCACACTATATGTCATGATGGCTGAAAAATAGAGTTGTTAAACAAGAAGAGGCACCTGTTGCTAGGCAAGAGAATGGTAAATATATTTCCATGACAACAAATAAACATGCAACAATAGGGGGGCTCTTGGAAGCAGTGTTTTCTCTTCAGTTCATGCAAAGGCTGTATATAGTGAGGACACAGCAGCAGCCCAGCCAGTGACTCCCAGAGTCTTGACAGTAAAACATGATCATGAGTCCTGCGGGGCTTGGAATCAAGAATGACTGTGCTGGTGAGGGCCAGCAGCAGTTTACCAGCCAGCTAGCTGGCCAGCCCAGCCAGTCATTGAGTTACATTGTTAACAGCGCTACATAGCAACGACTAGTGAACAAACAAAAAACTTTATGCATGCTCTAGTTGTGACTTATAGAGTGTAAGTTAGTGATACTGTTGTAGTTATTTGTATGTAAGCATTTAGTAAATCCAATTATCAGTCCAAACCCCATGTCTAGTCCTCAACATGTGGCAGTACTGTTGAATAATAATGAATGATGAATTGGGAATGGTTTGGAGGGAAGCAGAAATGGCCTAATTTAAGATATTATCGCAGTATTGGCCTGGAGGGACTGAGGCCCCCCCTCCAAATAACGCTGAGTCACGATAGTCTGTATTCTAGCCAAGATTTGAATTGTTCTCCTCCAGAATATAAATCAAAAATATTACCGCTTGAGCCAATTTGATCCATTTGAAGAGTCTAAGTTAAGAGGCTACTAAAATGTCCATATATTTTAATATGTTAAGTGGACTACAGCGTGTGATTTTAGCACATATTCATGCAGTGTAGCAGCTTTAAGACACCTGAAGATGGCAATCTAGGGCCGAAAAATGTTATGTTAAAATTGTAAGTGGAAGAAAAAAGGAACAATTTGTTTCATTATTGACAGACTGTGTTATACATAGATGTTTTAATGTGGCTTGCAACAGGATGCTTAAATACAGAATTAAGAAGCTACTATTTATGCTGTATTTTGTATTGCTTTTCATTTTTCCACGTTAATACATTTAGAATGTGTAGGGATAGCACAGTCCGCATAGCCACTGGCTATGGGCTGGATGACCGAGGGGTTGAAGTTTGAGCCCCGGTAGGGTCAAGAATTTTCTCTTCTCAACATCATCCAGACTGGCTCTGGGGTCCACCCAACCGCCTACCCAGTGGTTACCGGGGGCTTTTTCCCTGGGGGTAAAGTGGCAGGGGTGTGAAGCTGACCACTCACCTCCAGCTAATGCCAACGTCAAGAAAATGTGGATCCATACATCCACTCCCCCCTACACCTTCATGGTGTAGTGTTTAATTTGTTAGCTAAGGATGGAGGTTTATCCAGAAAAACGTCCTATATGCATCTGTGAAGTCATGTGATAACTGGAAAATGATTCTGGTTGTTCGCAGGTGTTACCTGAGTACCAGGCTCAGATCTCTCAACAAGCCCGTTCCAAAGAACTAAAAAGCGCTATATCACGGATATTCAGCCGGTATGATGTTGTGGAGACTTCATATCATTTTCTGTCACAGCGTATAGACCTTCACCTATGTGATGACCCTGGAGGTGAGGAACAGATCGTTTAATACTTATTTCTTCTGACAGGATTAGATATACATTTTCTGTTTTTCTTCTCACCCAATATGTTTGAAATAGTTCAGCTTGCATAATTATGAGGTAGCATGTGTCATTTCTCTTTCGGAAAAGTTTACAAGTAAACAATCCTGTCATCATTTTTGCCATGTCTTTTTCAGTTGTTATTGAGGAGAGGAAGAATGTTTTGATGATTGAACATTTTGGTTTTAAAGTATAATGATGATCTGTATGTCATCTCCGGCATTGTTATATTCAAGAAGCGCTTGAACATTAAAACATATTTTGTGATGTGGAATTAGCTTTCAGTTGTGTTTTGTGCTCTGCAGTTCTGTTATGATGCAAAAATTACACTTTTTTTTTTGCGGGTTGTATTAAGGCTATTTTCAGTCGCCAGACTATGTAGTGTTTAATGGTAGGATGATTGATGAAGAATTGGAAAGGATTTGGAAGGAAGTGACCTTGGCCTAATTGAAGAACTGTCCTGGTATTTGCCTGGAGGGACTAAGGAAAACCATAAGAAAACTAAGTTATGATAGTCAGTGTCCTGGCAAAATTCAAACCAAACATCTGAATTCAAGTCTAGGGTGTTACCTGTAGACAGCCTGTTCAATAATGTGAAACATTAATTTATGGATAATGACAATTGTCCTGTGGGAAAGGTTGATTCTTGCACCATTATCTGTCTGTTGTCTGGTATTATATCTTGATCCATGTTAGCAATTATTGCAGCCTTGGGCCTTCCACTTACATATTATGTGACTCCACTCTTTCACATCAGTGGGAACCTCAATTCCTGCATTGGGGTGGGGCTGTGCTGTAGCTCAGGTGGTTAGTCAGTGACTTAGTACTGTGGTGGCCTGTGTTCAGTCACAGGTGAGGTCATGTGGGATTTGTGGTGGACAGAGTGGCACTGGAGATGGTTTTTTCCAGGTACTTTGGTTTTTCTGGGGGCATGTGGTAGTGTATTTGGTTGAGGCACTATGCTACAAGCTGGAAAGTCGCGGGTTCAAGTCCCGATGAGGTCATTGGATTTTTTTTCAATTGACCTAATCCTTCCAGCTACATTATGGCTCTGGTGTTGACTCAGCCTCTAACAGAAATGAGTACCAGGAATATTCTTGGAATGTTCTTGGGGGTAAAGGGCAGCCGGCATGTAGGTCTGACAACCTTGCTGCCATCTATGAGCCTTAACATCTCACAACCCTGTGAGCCTCCACTGCCTGTTACGGGAATACCTTTACTTTTTACTTTTACTTTGGTTTTCCCTACTACTTCTCATTCCACCAACTGCTCCATATTTGTTAATCGTATCATTGATGCTATATAGGCTGCATTTTGGCAGCATCAAGGGCTACTGTACTTGCTTACGTGCATTGGGGTGGTGGTTCATGTCTTCCCAATATTTCATTGTTTATACTGCAAGAATAGCAGCAGTTTTCATTGAAGTTCAAACTTCTACGTTCTATCTGGACTGTATATCTGCTACCCCCATTGCATCAGACAGCTTTGCCACCGCAGTTGCCATCACAGATTTGTGATGTATCATATTTTGTGGGGACCGACTGTTGTCACCATAATGTCAAAGTTTTTGTCAAAGAGAGGTCTGTATGACATCTAAGTTAAAAATTTAACTCTGAGTGAGTAGGAAGTATATTCTTAGTACTGTTGACTGTAATTTTTCAGATGGGAGATCAGTTCATCCAGACCTAAAAGGTGGAGGTGCACTTCAAATTAGCTTGCAGCATTTTCAGGTATTTCACTACTTGTAGTTTTAATGAATGCTAATGAGCCTGAAACATGAGTCAGTAGAATGCATTTCTTTGTGTCTTCACACTGTTGCAAGTGTTCCTTCAAATGCACATGCATACATGTGTACATCACTATTCTCAACATTAAAATATCTTCATGTAAAATTTTCCTCAGTTTTGTATTCAACCCCGCTGCTATAAAAGGAAACCTTAAGTAGAGGTTTCACTGTGAATAGGACTAAATGTGTTACAGAAATATGTCTTTTTACTCCAAATGATGGATTCTGTTTTTTCATGTGAATGATATTGTACGTCCTGCTGAATATTGTGTACGTGAAATGTTTGTTAGTCTTACAGTATGCACCTCTGACTGTCAGTGTATGATTGATTTCAAGTGATAAAGAAAATTATGCTGTAATAAAATATTAAGTGATAATAATTTTTTACTCACTGTTGATTTCAGGTGGATTACTACCCCTATCACCTGGCTATTGGAGATAGAAAACACTGGCCCAAATATCGGGAAGGAGCATCACCACATGCACAGTGGTTAGATCAGGCACTAGCTGCATTTCGTAACAGTTTTCTTGATGTAATTGACCAAGGTCGGGTGCAGCATACGCCTCTGGTCCGTACTCAGGCTCCTGCTCATGTTGCTCAGCAAGGACCTAGCAAGACTGCCACGGCCGGTGACAATGCTCAGCAGCAGCCACTGCAGCAGCAAGCTCAGGTTCCATCAAAATTATTATACCATAATTTGAGAAGAGCTTCTCTTATGAAATTTTAAGCCTGATGTGAAGTGAAGCAAACAGAGCATTCTATCTTCTGGGGTATAATGCCAGGTAGTCCGTTCAAAGGCAGCTGACATTTTGGAGGAGCACATTGCCTCCCTGAAGAAGGAGGTGAGGTGTTCCTCCATAATGTTGGCTGACTTTCAGCGGACTACACAGCATTATAGCCCAGAAGATAGTACTCTTCATAACCACCTCTGTGAGAACCTCAAATCCTACATAAGGCAAACACGATTTTATTCATAATCTGTGGGAGAAGTTATTTCAGCACCGAAGCAGTGTAAAGTGTGGGAGAGTAGTGACTTTATGACTCTTATGAACATCATTTCTAGATTGCATAATACTTCAGTCACATTAAATGAATGATGTGCACATAAGAGCACTATCCAGTAGAATGTAATTCCATGTAGTCTGAAAGTAACACCATGTATTCCAGTAGAAGCCAATGACATTTCAGAGGAATGTGATGCCTCCATCTTCAGGGTTGAAGAGTGAGCAAAACAAGTAGCAAGCTTGTTAAATAGGCTTTCTCTTCAACTCTGAGAATGGAGGCATATGTTCCTTTCAAACTTCAGTGAACTTCTATTGGACTGTACTGCATTATATCCCAGAAGGTAGTGTTCTTCGTAGTTACCATTGTGAGAATCTTAACCCTTCACTGCTGGCAGGTATTTAAATTCCTACTCAGCTCCTGTGCCATAGGATATTTAATTATTTAAATCGGAGAATGCATCATTTCACTTAAAGTGTAATAAATTGGGAAAAACTGGAGTTTTGTTTTTCTAATTTTCACACTATGTTCAGAAAGGTATATAGAATAAGTTTATTGATGCACACTGCTTTAACCTTTATGAGCCGAAGGACACCGTATGGAGACTTAAAGTAAAGCCGAGGTGGCCGAAAGACACCGTATGGGTATGCACAGTCCACGCATGCGCACAGTGTTTTAAAATATAATTTTAAGATAGAAATTCTTATTCTACTTACATTGTTTTTGGACACCAGCTTTATAAGTAGACTGTCTTCCCTCCTGCATCATCTAACTGAATGTTGCATGTCACTGAATGCAGAGTCCGACGTCGCAACTCATTCACTTTGTCCGTAATTAACTCTGTTTTCCACGCGAAGCGCACTCATGCAATGTCAGTCTCGTATTAGCAGGCAGTAGGTCAGTGATGGTGAGTGGTCTCCTATATTCGTAACGCTTATAAAACATCGCAATTTCAACTATGCACCATGGCCCCTTTTCGCATTGAAAAAGCCGAAATTGAGAGGCCACTTGTAAATCACACCATTCGGAATGCTGTACATAAGACTGAAAGCACGTAGAAGAAAGGGGCCATGTGAGGGCCTTTCTACATTATTTTTGGACAGCAGCTTTATAAGTAGATTATCTTCCCTCCTGCATCATCTAACTGAATTTTTCATGTAACTGAATGCAGAGTCTGACGTCGCAATTCATGCACTTTGTCCGTATGTAACTCTTGTTTTCCACGTGAAGCATACACAGGCAACATCATTCTCATATTAGCAGGTAGTCAGCCAGTGTTGCCGATTTGCCTTCTCTAATCATAATGCTTATAAAACATCACAATTTCAACTATCCCCCATGGCCCCATTTCGCATGGAAGAAGCCGAAGTTAATAGGCAGCTGATAAATGTCACCGATTTAGAATGTGATACATAAGACTGAAAGTAAGTAGAAGAAGGGGCCATGTGCAGGCCTTTCTAAGAAGCATAACAGTACTTCTTGTGTGGCAGAAACGTGTATACACAGACAGTCTCTGAGGAGGTGACCTCACTCCTGTATACAGAAAGGTTGGAGTGCTATAAAAGCATAAACATTTCCTCCCCTTTTGAAGATAAGCCAGTACCATTAAGAATGATGTCAGCAGCAGGCATTTATACCGCAGAAACGTTTTGTGCAGAAACTGACTGCAGTTTCGTGGACAGACGCTCAAAATTGTGAACATTTTTTTTTTTTGGAATCGGTGTAACAATTTTTACAGATTCTAAAATCTGTAAATTACAGTATCTGATTCTATGTTCTTTCTAGATAAAAGCAGCGTTTATTTCGTTCGTTTATCACAAAAATTGTAGAAATCACAGCATTTTGAGTAACATGATTACAATTTTTATTACTCTACAATGGCAGGCATTTCAATTAACTCCATCCCACTGCCACTACCGGAATTTAAATGGCCCATCCCATAAAGGTTAAAATTATTTTTTGTCACAGTAAGCCTGTAAGAATTATGAATAATTGTATCATATTACCTTAGAAGTTTAGCTGGGTCGGTTAAACATGAAAACATTCCACACAGGGTCATGCATCACACCAGTACACAATTTTTGAGACACAACATGCCCATCTGTGGTTTTGATTTCTTCACAGTTGGTGGAATCTTGCTTATGAAATTTCTTTGTTTTAGATGGGGCACTGTTTTGTCTGACGAATTTCAACCTGGCACTTTATTTTCTAAAGCATTAGCATATTTCACAGAGAGTCCCTCAATTAACTGAATTCTGATTGACAGTTCATCTGTTCTTTTCTTTGTGTTATTCCTACATATTATCATTGCATTCAGAAATTTTATTTTTGGCCTTTACAGTTTTGCATATTCTCCCAGTGGATGTTTGTGCTATTCTTGATTCTGTCATTTACCACAGAATCGAGAAAAGCACAAACATCCATTTTCACTGTCTAATTCCAAATCTGAAAAAAAAACTGTGTTCTGATTTGGTTTGAAGTATATATATTCTCCACTGGTCATGACACAACACAGCTGGCCACTTCATTCCTTGTGGCTGGCCTTGGCTAACCAGACCGCATATTGCGTATTTATAGAACATAGGGGAATTACAGTAGTTATCATTCATATAGTGAACTATTTATCATTTGCTACAGTAGCAGTCATAACACACTTCTTAGAGTGAACATCACATCTCAAAGTTGTAGATTCTCTCTGTGTCTTCTCGTCATTACAAATACCAATGTTAAAGCAGAAGTGATCAGAATATGCCTCAAGAGAATCAACTTTTCATTCCATCAGCTAGTGGACGGCACACAGTATCGATCTAACATATTTAATTCATAAGAATTCCATTAGGCAAAGATAGGTTTGTATGGTAACAAGCACACCAAGTGTTGAAATAGAAAACTTTTTCAAAGAATTCAAATGTATTACAACTCCCGCAGGAAGCTCAAAGTGGGACAATGAATATACGAAATGATTGCCTGAAATGTTCTCTTTAATTTTATACCAAAAGAATTACTTTACATGAAAAACAACGGTTCAAAATACGAGCTGAAACTTAGAGATGCAATATGTGTGTGGGGTACGGAGCCTGGTGGCATGTGGCAGAAGCTGCTGGCATGCTAGTTATGGAGCCTGGCACTAAAGGGTTAACTCATGTA